CTCTACAATTGAGTGGCGATGTATAACACTGTATTTATATCGTTACTTTGGGATCAATACAGACGTATGTGTGCTTAGTGTGTGTAGTGGTATAATGATATGCGTATTAGGCATACATGGCTGGATTCTCTGCCAACTTTGGCGCTCAATTTATGTAGACTTCAATCATTGCTTTACATGCAGTGAACCACACATACTGTAGATACTAATATAAAGTGATATCATTGAAGGCATTGTGGCTGAATTTTTAGCCAACATTTTGTGATCAATGCAAACGCATGTATAGTGTACTCACGCGGTGTACAGGATTATATGCACAATGCAATCAAATGCAAAACACTAGATGTTAGGTTTGGCTCTCAATGCATTGATAGTGAGTTCTCATTATTAGTTGTTTGTGGGCTAAGGGACAGCCATTTATAAACAAATGCATAACAAATCAAATATGAAGTAAAGTGTTGTTATTTTTTTTAACTATAATATGTATAAATAATTAAAAACATTGTCAAATCCGATATCCTTAATTAATTAAGGATATCGGATTTGAATTCTATGATTAATTTATTAAATAAATACAAAATTATTGTTTATAATACATTTAATCAATGTGATAATAATGAGTCGTAAAAACATATTAACTCGACAATAACTCGAAAATCTGCTAAATGATGAAAGTGCTGAAGATATTGCAGTGATGAAGATTGTGAAGAAATATAAATCTAAGATCATTCAACAAATACTTAATAAAGCATTCAAAACATTAGTAATGGCAGTGATTTATTTTGATGATTTTTTGATGGACGCATGATTTATTTATTTCAAGTATAAGCACATCGCAATCAACAAAAACTAAATCACCTTAATTTAATTATTTTATATAAATTGGGATATACACAATTAATTAAGGATATCTCAATTTATTAACTGTTTATGTGTTTAGAAAATACACTTTCATTTCATTATATAATTATTCCTATTTTATGCATAAATGCTAATCAAACACTTTTAATTTAAATAATTGTTTATTAAAATTAAAATTAATTGTTTTTAATTATAAATGCATAAACTGTTTTAGCCATTAGCGCCCAATCAGCACTGTTTCAGTACACCATACATGCGTTTTCATTGAACACAAAATGTTGGCTAAAAAGTCTGCCACAAAGCCTTAAATGTATAGCACTTTATATTTGTACCTTCAGTGTGCGCGCGTCACTGCATATAAGGCTATGATTGAACTCCACATAAATTGAGCGCCAAGGTTGGCAGAGAATCCAGCCATGTATGCCTAATGCGTATAACTATATACCACTGCACACACTATGCACACAAACCTATACAAACACTACAGATTGAGTAATGCTCTCGATTTAACTGCCATCTACACCTCCTGTAAATCAGGCATAACTGCATTTATTTGTGCTGGCAGGATTTTCAGCCAAGAATGTTACAGTAAGGAGGGGAATAAGTGTGTAATCGCTAGGTTAAATAAAAATCTTAATAATAAAGATTATAATTAAAACTAATTTTTCGATAATTAAAACAACTTTTATTTGCTTTCAATGAGAAAATTACATTTGATTTAAAATATTAGAGACAAAACAAATGCTTTGATTGAAATTATGATAAATTTAATACAATTTGAATATAAATTGGCTAAAAATAAAATTTATACATAAAATTATTGATAAAATTCATTACAATATATACAGCAAAATGAGTTTCAATTAATATAATAATAATAGTTATAATTAATTAACAATTATTAGAGCAAAACAATTGATTTGTAATTATTGTCATTCATTTAATTGATAGTTAAAAAAGGTTTGCAATAAATTTCTCACATAAATCTTGTTTTATTAATATTATTATTGTAATCATGTATTAATTTCTGTCTAATTAATTAATTTCAATTTAAACTTCGTATTTAATTAGTTAATTAAATGCAATTTATATTTACATTATACACGAATTGTTTGAATGTATTTTATTTAATAATTATAAAATCAGTTAAATCTGTTGTAATAACGACTAGTTTTTGAGGATTTAATTATTAAAAAAATTATAATTTAATACTTTTTTCAAATATTATTAATAAGAAAAATCATATTTAAAAAATAATAATAAAATTTTTATTTATTTATGTAAAAAACCAAATGATATATCGAGACAATTATGATAAACGTTTTGCAGTTAGAAAAAAATTAATAAAATAATTAAAAATCTGATATAAAATACATTCAAAAAATCATATGATAAGTGTATAGCAATAAAGTTCCCACACGTTTTCAGTTTACATTTATAATAATTATTTATTTATTAAATATTATAACAGATTATCAGATAGTTATCCGACACTTAAAACTGACAACTTTTCTACTTTGAAGCAACAAATAAAACAATAAATAATTAATTAAAACTTACATTAATAAACAAAATGTATCATGTGGGAACAATCTTTTTGCTATACATAATCTGTTCAGTAATATCTGATCAATACTTTTAATATCATTAATAATAATAATAATAATTTATTTAAAAACTAAAAATTACAATTTATTGCTTATAATAGAATATTACATATAATATACTTATAATACATCATTTAAATCTCAAATAATTAGTTATAATAATAATTAATAATAATAATAATAATAATTTATTTAAAAACTAAAAATTACAATTTATTGCTTATAATAGAATATTACATATAATATACTTATAATACATCATTTAAATCTCAAATAATTAGTTATAATAATAATTAATAATAATAATAAACATTAATTACATTTGCGAAGGAACTGAATCGTTAGGCGAGTCGTCGGTATCGATCTCTAGCTTACCGTTGGGCAAACCCTGACCCCCACCTCCGACCCCACCCAACATACCGGGCCCTCCGGTGGCAAACATACCATTACTACCACTCACACCAAACTGTGACACAAACCGATTGCCGGGTGTTTGCAAATAGGGGTGAAATTTATTCAAATTCTGATACAAATGGTTGAGTTGCATACGGGAGGCGTATAGGGCTGAGGCGGCCGCCGCCGGGTGTATACCACNACATACCATTACTACCACTCACACCAAACTGTGACACAAACCGATTGCCGGGTGTTTGCAAATAGGGGTGAAATTTATTCAAATTCTGATACAAATGGTTGAGTTGCATACGGGAGGCGTATAGGGCAGAGGCGGCCGCCGCCGGGTGTATACCACCGCCAACACCGCCCGCACCGGGAAAGCCGGGCACAGACATCGGGCCCATACTTGTGGGCACCATAAACGCGGGATGTATTCCAGCCATACTAACAGGCGTAGAGTGACCACCTGTCCCACCACCGCCTGGAGGGCTGTTCAGCGAGTGGTGGGGCGACAGAGACTGTTGAGACTGTTGTCCTTGTAGTTGTGAGGTCGGGGCGGCTGTGGATGTGGGCGGCTGTGGTGGCCCGGCCTGGGATGTGGGCGGACTCGGGCCCATCATTGAAAAGCCCGGAGCGGCCATGAATTGTCTGGGAATGTTGCCGAAGTATAGGCTGGCCATCGCCGCCGGATTACTGGCCATCATTGATGAGAGTTCGGCCAGATTTAAGTTGTTTATGGATTGGTTGGTAGGATATGGTGTGGGAGGCATACCCCCGGCCCCCGGGTGCGGACCACCACCGGCTGAGTTTGGACCGAGTTTACCCCACTGGGCGGCCAACGCCGCCTGACTGGCCATCAGTAAGAAATCCTGACCACAGGGTATCCGTCCCATAGCTAATAGTAGTGGGAATTACATTAATGTTAATTATGTTTAATATTTTAACATGTTTATTTGCTAAAAGTTTATATATTAATGCAGTATATGCTGTGATTCTGGTAATGATTTATTCAGGTTTGTGTTTCTCTCTGCATATCATATGTAATGAGTGTTTGTTTGCAAATCAGTGGCCAAATTCTGGTGACACACAGAATATTCTGTGCGCAAAAACTGCCGGCAAATAGTTTAATGAATTTCTATTGGATTAGTGTTTAGTAAATGTTAATAAAATTATCACAACCTAACATGATATATAACGAACTTAATTCAATATAAAATGTTTACATAGATTCTGGTATATAAACTAGGTAAATATTACACACATGTATAGCACACGGTATATATAATTGTGTGTTAATATAACAAACGGGTTGTAACATGTAATTGGATCGGAAATGTTTTCTCCTCGTGGTAAATGATTGAGTGGTTTAATAGTGTGTTGTTCATAGTGTATAGTAGTTGATGCATATAAAAGTGATCTAGATCACACCAGTGCCCATACCTGCAGCGTTGGCCAGCGCTTGTTGATCGTGTGGGGATAAGTCGGCGCCAATTAGGGCCCGGAATGGCGAGTGACGGAAGGCGTGCTCCCGGAGTAGTGTTTCCACTGATTCTCTGTCAGTTTCAATATATATATACAACACATGAATATATCATACGTTAGAGAGAGAGAGAGAGAGAGAGAGAGAAATTAAAAAAAGTTTTTAATAATAATAAATATAAGTTAGAGATGAAGAGCAACAATGAAGTGAAACACAATTTAAATAAATTATATGTTATATGTGTGTTGTCTATGAGATCTGTCAAAGTTGTGTACCAGCGATGGNAGAGAGAGAGAGAGAGAGAGAGAGAGAGAGAGAGACTAGGGATGGGGAGAGAGCCGAGTATATGCATGTATAAAGTCATTAATCATTGATCGCAACTAATGATATGATTTTTACCACACATACAGCGTGTATACCCCCATACGTACAGTGTGCTACTCAACGTGGTAGGATATACGGGGCTGTAATACACAACTCTTATACCAGACCCGGTGCTGCTGTTGCTATTAATCTAATTTATTAGCCATCGCTGGTACACAACTTTGACAGATCTCATAGACAACACACATATAACATATAATTTATTTAAATTGTGTTTCACTTCATTGTTGCTCTTCATCTCTAACTTATATTTATTATTATTAAAAACTTTTTTTAATTTCTCTCTCTCTCTCTCTCTCTCTCTCTCTCTCTAACGTATGATATATTCATGTGTTGTATAT